TTCGACTTATTTTCGCTATTACAGACCAGAAAACTGTTATAGCGTTTTTGAATTTTGTGCCACAGTAGGCAAAGACTGTCCTGGCGGTTGGATATGGTGCCACAGCGGGATCAGGCTGTCTTGGCGTTTAGATATATGATTTTTGATTTTTGTTGTTTTATTTGGTGTTTTTAATTGTTTTTGGTTTCGTTTGGTAGTCTCCCTATTAGTCATCGGGGCGGTCTGTGCGTTCTCGAAGATTTTCGCATTTTGAACACGTCGCAAGAATACCGACAATACCCCCTCTAGCACCTTAACGAGAGGGCTGCACACATTAGAGGTGGCGTAAATCGGTTTCTCGCGACGTGTTACCCCTATATCTGATAGAAAATTGACGAGTTTTGATGAAAGATTTCTGCTTAAAAGTTGGTGTGTTGCCACATACGTTAATCCTCTCTTTTTGACTTTTTTGCTCACATTTCAACATTGCCCCCCCCCCTCGGTTTGACTAACGTTGGTTTTATTGATTGATTGGTTTTTTTTTGCATGCATGTGTGTGTGCGTGCGTGCGTAGGGTAGGGTAGGATAGGGTAATACATACATACATCTATGTATACAGCCGTATTCCTATCATGTCAGCAAAATAACCAAAAATCTTAAAGAAGAGAAAAGAAGGATTGATTATTTAATCTTGCATTGGCATTTGCAGGGAATGAGAAGAAAGAAAGGGGGTGGGATGGATAGTATTGGTATATATTCTACATGTTCGGCGTTGTTTGACTTTATTGGAGAAAAATACACTATAACTATACATGATATATATGTGTATGTAACTTGTCAATGTGCGATCAGTGATGCAGTGAGCGGCTCTTGGTGTTGAAACTACTTACTTCACCTACACAACGCACTCATTTATGTATACGTACATACATGCATATAAACCATGATAACCCCCGATATTCTAATTCCAACATAACACTACTTACTCGTCCTTTCCTTTCGCCTCCCCTTCCGTCCGTCCAAAACCCGTCCCTTCCCCCCCGTACATACCTTCGCGACTCGGTTCCGCAAATCTAATTCACATACACACTGCCTTCCAACTGCATCCCCATGATTACTACACGAAGCAGCGCCATGACGCTTTCCCCTCACCCTTCAATCCCCAGATGATCAACGCGCTGCTGTGTCCTCTTCATCTCACTCTGCTCCGCACCTGCAGCAGCGCGCGCGTTTGCCTGAGCGCGAGCGAGAGCGCTAGCTTCGGCTGGTGGTTGGGGTGTTTGTTAGTTTTGGGTGGTGGGTGGTGGGTGGGAGAGTGGGTAGAGGATGAAATGCAGTAAAAATACCTTTGTCTTGTCTCTCCTGCTCACTCACGATCGACCCGTCGTCATCCACCCGCGTGCTTTTCTTCTGCTTGGAACTAAAGGCGCCGGAGAGCGCGCCGAAGAGATTGAGATTGAGACCGGCCTGCATGGTTGTACGTTGGTAAAGCTGTATATCATTCTCATACGGCATCTCGAGTTTGTTTGTGATAAGGAGTGGGTATTTAGCAAAGAGATTGTGGATATGAGTGGAGGAAATGGGTTAGAAACATACAGATGCATTGGCGCTGGCGTGTTTCTCGTGGACTTGCTGTTGTGAGGCTGTGGCTTGGTTTTGCTGCAGTTGCTGGGCGTCGCGCTTTGCTACGGTTTGGGCCATGGTGAGCGAAGGTGATGGGCTTGGTCGAAGGACTGGTTGTTAGGGTATGTCTATGTTGCCTGGCTACAGTGGTTAAGGAATTAGCGTACGTTGGTCTCCGCGAACTACGCTGGATATCCTGTTCGCTTTGTATCCATGCTGCCGTGTGGTGTGTGGTAAGACGACCAGTGGCATGACGTCATGCATCGCAAGGGTGCACCAGCAGGTTTTGATGCATGAACGAGTAAAGGGTCTGGGGTCCATGGCAGGGCCTATGGAACCTGGATTGAGATAAGTGGGCAGACACTGGGTAGAATGCAAATCGTGGTTGTATTAGTTTCATGTGCCATGATCAGTGGGCTAGTACTTCTACAAGGTTATCCCAGAATCCCAAGTCGTATACGTTCTCCACTGCGGCTAGGTTCCACACGCGCTCAAAGCTGTCTTCTTTGGCTACGGACCGGATGCGGCTGGGCAGCGACTTGGGTGGTTGTCCGGTCCGCGTTCGGATGAGAATGTGTCTACTTTCCAGAGGCCAGGTGGTGACTGGCTCTTCGTCTTCCGATAAGCTTTCGGGAGGAGTTAGGATGGGAGATGTGGACGAAGACGAATGTTCCGAGTGGTACATGTACGCGTGGTTCGGTACTGGTGAATGGCAATGCTGCATTGTGTCTTCTCGCCTGTAACCGAGAAAAACAACGCCGTCTGCCATGTCATCGCGCCAATCCGCCCATTTCGAGCTCTCGTTTGTTGTCATACCGGCCCAAATAAGGTAGATGTGGTAGACAAGTAGGCCCAGTGGAAGTGGCCAGGTTAGAAGTGCGAGTAGACCGACTCCAGACGCGCGAATCCCACCAACGTCCAGATAGATGCTCGCGTACATGAGGAAGTTATGCCCCTTGCGGTTAAAGTAAGCACCCCAGCTCTTAGAATCGACGCCGGTCTTCGGTTTGTACATGTACCAGCCCTCATACTTTAGGTACTGCTTGAGAGCCAACGGGGAAAGGGCATAGTAGGCTAGATATGCTCCGTAGGCAAGGAGGATACTCGTTGACAGCAAGAGAGCCAAGAACCACTTGTAATTTCCGCGGCCTAGACAATTGTTCACCCACACGCAATGATGGTCCATTCTAGACACGCACGTCTTGCATATACTGCAATGCTTGCTCCGCGCCGGCTTCAGGAACTTGCATGTTCGACAGGTATTTCCAGGGTAGTACAGCACTCTATCATACGGATAGTGTCGCATCTGCTCGGCATGATTGGCCGTGCTTATGTACGTTTGGTCGTTCCTCTTTGCGCTCAAGTATAGAAAGATGTACGGTTGTGGCAGCATGACGAAGGCGAAGAGCTTGTGGTGCAGCCGAATGAGATGCCACACCGCGGGCAGGATCATGGCAGCGCATCCAGTGACGAGGCCCAGGAAGAATATAATGACGAGTGGGTGCTTGTCATTCATCAGGTAGTGGCCCAAACGGGAGCCACCGTTGGTGATGCGACCATTTGTAAGGGCGAGGTCGAGTTTTCGGAACGCCGAAGGGATGTGACTGAGGACGAGGCGATTGAGGAAGCCTATGGGCGTGTTTCTGGACTTGTTAGAGCCTGAGCGTCTGCTGCATCAAGAGGAGGCACCTGAAAGCCGGTAGTCGTCCGAAGAAGGCTATGAAGGTAATGAGCGACACGGTGACGGTGAAGGCGATGATGGTGCGAGCGACGGTCATGATGAGAGAAGATTGGCCTGTGGCAGGCGTCGCATGGCGAGAGAGAGAGAGCAAGAGAAGCCAGAAGTCACTTTCCCATCATCGTTCGCCGGTGGTTTGCCCGTAATTGCATGCGCAAAGGTGCCTGGAGAACGCCACAGCAAGGCTGAGCAGGAGCACCCACCGACCCCGCGTGAATCCTTGGTAGCATGTGAGCACGCGTCATACCTGAGCCAACGCGTCTCACCACCACTGAACGCGACAACAACATTGAACCATGGCCGCGCCGACCGTGTACACTGATGTCGCAGAGGAATTCGAATCCAACGGGCAATTATTCGCGGGCAAAAAATTCTGGGTCTGGCAGCGCACCCCGTCACGCAACCGCCTGCTGGACGACATAAAGGCCAATGGCGGGGAGATTGTGATGCTGGAGAAGAAGGCCGACTACCTGATCGCAGACCACATGTTCCCGGATCAGCCCCCAGGATCAGTATCATATGAGTTTATCAACAAGTCAATCCAGCGAGGAAAACTCCTCGACCCGAAAGACTATCCAGCCGGCCCACCACTGGGTGAGGCGCGTGAACCGGGAGCCACGCACCGGTCGGCCAAGAGTGGCAGGGCAGCATACACAGCAGAAGAAGACAGGATACTCTATAAATGGGTGCATGATGCCAAAGCCTTGGGTCGCGCCGAAAGCGGGAACGAGATTTATAAAAAGCTGGAGGAAAAGGTATGCGCGCGCAAAGAAGCAGAGCCCGAGTACATGTGCTAAACAAGACAGTATCCACGACACACATGGCAGTCATGGCGCGACCGCTATCTCAAGCAACTCAAAAATCGGCCTACATCTGCTTTCGACATATCCAACAATGCTTCGCCTTCCGATCAGTCCAACGAACGTATACCTCCCGCCCCGTCCTCTGAATCGGCAAAACCACAGACATCTAAGCAGGAACAGACATCTAAGCAGGAACAGGCATCAAATACTACAGAAACTAGTGCAGAGGGAAAGGAAGGCATAGGGCGTGATTATAGCATCGAAGAACTGAGTGCGGCGTTCAGCACCGAAGACTGGCTAAAGATCTATGCCCTTGCAGATTCACTCAACAACATGAGAGGGCAAGAGCGGTACGCTTCATCGTGGGCCGATTGGGCAGAAGCACAGGGCGGGCAAACCGCTGAGCAATGGCAGCAATACTTTGAAAAAGTAGTCCGCCCACAGTGGCTGCGCGATCCCGTGTCGAAACGGGAGGAGATGAAGAAGCGGGTCGAAAAGAAGCAAGAAGAAGAATACCACAAGCAGGGTCAGTCGATTGATCAGGATGCTTCAGAGTCAGCCAAATCAAACGTTCAAGTCGCGGAATCCGAGGTTTCGCAAGAGGAAGCACCCGAGCGGCCATCAGGTTTCGACGATGAGCGTTTTGAAGAGCTGCTAAAGGATAAGCAAAGTGACGGAATTCTGTCGGCATACACATTGTATGCCCGCGAAAAGAAGCAGGAAACTTTGGATACGCAACCCAGCTGGAGCTTTAGTGAGTGCCTGCAAGTACAGTTCCAAAGTAATCATCGCTGATATTCAAAATAGTCGAAGTACATGAGTTCCTACTGACCCAATGGCACTCGCTTTCGGAAGAAGAAAAAGCGCCCTACATTGCCATGGACCAATCAATAACAATGACTACGGATGAGGTGGAAACGTTCACCAAAACGGTATCAGCAACCAAAGCAACATCCTCTTCAACAGCCCAGTATGAGTCATCCGAGTTGCACAGTAAATCAGGACAGAAAATCGTAAAGCGTTTGCGGGAAGACGATGAGCCAGTGGAAGAAGAGACGGAGCTGCCTCGGTCTATCAAACGACGGAAAAGTGGAAGCGCAACGCCTACGAATTATGGCACACGACAGCAGCCACTGGAGATCTCATCAACTCAAAGCTCCCAGGACACGATTGATTCGGACATTAACAAGGAGTATAATGGGTTAAACCTACCCGACACTGTAGAGGATGACGAGGCCACCATGGTAGAGCTAGACGGGCAAGACGCAGAAAGGGACGTGCAAAGCATCGAATCAGACGAGTTCCAAGATCACCTACCTCCGCCACCACCAGGCTACGAAACACTTTCGGAGGATGATCTGCCTTCAAATACGCCAACGCCACGAGCCACGCGTCAAAAAGTGTCACACTTTGACACTCAAGCGATCCTGGCCTCACCGTCTCCAGAAAAGCTTCCGCGATCACTCGACCTGGCTCAAGATGCGAGAGATCAAGAGAAACAACGGTCTTTGTCACCGGTTCAGCTCCCAGACTCGGACGCTTCCATTACTCAGTCTATAGAGGAATTCCGGCGCTCCCTCCCAGAAGAAGACTCGGCTCAATATGGTTACGCTCAATATCCGCCCCAACCACTCCATGTGTCCTCTTCGCCAGCACCTTCTGTAGCCTCTTCCACCTCGACCGGTTCAGGCGACCCCGACCCGCCCCTCAGCGCCGACGAGATCAATGAGTTTTATGCGGAGCAAAATGCCGAAGGATTCTCCAACGACTTCATCAGTGCCGCGCTCAAACGCACACGTCTACGCCCCGAGCTCACGGTTAAAGTACTGGACGCTTGGAGTCGTGGAAAGCCTCTACCGAACGAAAGGGGCATATGGAGCAAGGAGGACGACGTAGCTGTGGAGAGTGGAGACGGGTATGAACTGGCCAAGCTGGAGAAGAAGCATACGCTGGACGGCTGGGGTGGAGTTACAGAGCGCCTGGTATTCCTGGAGGGCTATCGAAGTCGGTGAAAGAATAGGTTTAAAGTGTCGTCTTCGGATGTGGTTTATCATTCTCCACGCCTTGTATCACATGCTTCGTGGTGGCTCTACATGCACTTTCTTTTTACTTGCTGCGGGTATATGCCTGCATTACCTAGCTTGTATTATTTACTTAACCAGAATGCTGGCCAGTTTTCGGTAATCCATCTCCTAAAGAACACCATGTGCCCGATTCAACGAAGCTTGCATTATCAAGCAAACCCAACAGAAAGACCAGTTCCATGCACAAAACGACCCCAAGCCAGGACAAGAGACGCGTCTAAGCCAAAGTGAGAACTACCGGCTCGGGCCAATCCGCCGCCGAGAAAGCAGAGAGGGGAGTCAAGTCCAGGACAGATACCAGGTCCTGGGAATCCTGCATCCCGGGATCCAGGATCCTGTATACCGTCACGGCGCCCACTCTGACGTGCCTGGTGCTATCCCGCTTGTCCGGCACAATGGCAATGCCGGCGTGCGGGGTGACGAGCAGAACATCGCAGGCAGCATAGTACTCGACATCATAAAACACACGTGCTTCTGCGAGGCGGTTGCGCGTCAAGCGGAGCCTGCAGTCCCGTCCATCACTCGACTGGTGCTCCGCAGCATTAAACAGATGCGCTATGGGTCCTCTGATGGTAGCATACCCCTCCGCCAGTTCGCCCAGCGGATTCTTTCCTTTAGGCACAAGGTGGCACTGCACAAGCGCCGCACACGTCAGCGTGTCAGTGTCGTATTCCAGAAGCTTGTACGCGACCACGCCGTCTAGCGCGGCAAAAGACCACGAGGGCGCTCGCCAGAAACGCGGTCGAGACGCCGGCTTCGCGTGGAACACGTAGCTGTCACGCTCTGGATCTTGGATCCGCCACAGGAGTCCCTTGGCAAACCAGCTTTCCCAGATCCCCGCGAGACACCGGTCGCCTGTGAGCGTTTGCAGCGCGGACATGACGCCAGAGAGAGCGGGCAGCTTGTCGCTCGTGACTGTCATGTTGCGCGATGTGTATTCCTCGATGAGGCGGAGCCATGGGCGCCATTCGTGGCTCAAGCCCCATCTCTTCTTGTTGTTGTCTGTGGTGTTTAGTTTGGGGGCTTGCATGACGCTTGCCAGGCCACTGGCGATTCGCTGTAAGTTGTATTGTGAGCACGTTTCGATGTCCATGGCCATGTCGTCTTCGGCCTTGAAGTCTGCGCTACACTCCCAGTACATCTGGTGGCTGGCTATGTGTAGTGTGCGGTTTGCGAGGACACGCTCTTGCGCACACCACACGCGGCTGAGTAGTGGTTCCTCCTGGTCCATGTCAGATTGCTTTGGTACCTTGGACTTGGAACTGCTGGCTCAAAGCGACGTACCTGGCGTATGCTCAGCGGCGTTGCTGTAACAGTCTCGATGGAGCCCGGCGACATGATCAAGTCGTCGTAGTAGAAATGCAAGTCACACGGTCCTTGCTCTGTGCGAAGCAAGACTATATCCCTGTATTTGGCCTTGCGCGGGTTGAGGAAGCCCTCGTTGCAGTGGCTGGCGCGCGCGGCAGCGATGGTGAGATAACCATTAATATACACGTCTGCCATTCGAGAGGCTTCGTATTCCCAGTCTGCTTTGTCGTCCTGGATAATGCAGAGACAGTCTGCCCATAGGTATCGTACACCCAGGTATCGGGTTAGGAATACTGCGTCTTGGAGTGTCTTGGGGAGCTGCGCGTAGCGGATGCCGCCGTCCGCTTTGTGCGTGTGCAGATTGCTGGTCGTGGTTTTGTATGCCAGGCCTTGGCCCCAGCAGTAGCTTAGAGCGATGTATTGACCACTGTCGCTTGGACTCGTTTCCACGAGACTGAAGCCTGTATCTTCGAGTAAGCGGCGGGGGTCGCCTTGGATGCAGTCTAGTTCATTGCTGCTGGGCAAGGAGCCAAGATCAAGTAGCCGAGTGGGAAGCTGGGTTTGAGTCGTTGAGTCATGAGAGCAGTCGGAATGCTGCTCGTTGCAGTTTTGAATCCAATTTCTTGCTTTGCCGAGGACGAGAGGGTGGAGCGAGTCTTGGATCACCTCGTAGAAGGGGAAACCATCTGCCACTACACTGTCTATATGGGAAGGATTAGCTGGACTTTGCATGTCTGCAAGTCTTGTATTGAGTCATATCATACCTGGAGTCACTTTGATATCGTAGTTGCCACTCAGCCGTAGCTCAGGTTCCTTTTCGCCAGTGCGTACAACCCATAGTGGGTAGCCTACCCTTAGCTCTAACCAGAGAGGTCGCTCATCCAGAGCGTGGCTGTTAGTGTGGTAGTGAAAACTGTTTTTCATATGACTCCAAACGACTCGGCATAGCGAGCAGTTTTCCGAGCCACTTTGCAGTTGAGATATATTTGGATGCCAGCGGACGAATGGATCTTCTGATCCAAGCCCTCCGTGTCGTCGGAACCATTCAAATTTGTCATAGACAGACCTGTCGCCTTTTCAGAGTTTGAGAATGTCCGGAAAGGGTAGACGCTGGCATGTTTGGCAGAAAGACATGGTACGTGTGAACAGGGGTTTGCAATACCGTCCAATGCTGCCTGTGGATACCCCGCGTCCAGCATCAATCTTGCTAGGCTGAATGTAGAAAATATGCAAGCCATGCTTACGTCATTCATGGAAGGCGACCTGAAGCCAGCTCGGCGGCAGGGCATCGGTGTTGGAGTATCGATGACGGAGATGTGTGGTGAAAGAGAGGAGCATGTGACTTGGCGAAGGCGCTAGCGGTGCACTAACTAGCCCCACCACAAAGTGCGCGCGACCACAAAGTGCGCGCGCGGCCTCACCAAAACTACCTTAAAAACGAGGCTATAGAGCAC